TTTAGAAAGTAGATGTTGTTAGGATTTAAGTGGATCACCACGACATAAATGTCCTGCATCAATATCTGAACAATATCTGAATGGTGGCCAAGAGAAACGTTTGGTGCCCAGGAGCTGCATAAATTCAAAATGGTTACTGAACAATATCTGAATGGTGGCCAAGAGAAACGTTTGGTGCCCAGGAGCTGCATAAATTCAAAATGGTTACTGAACAATATCTGAATGGTGGCCAAGAGAAACGTTTGGTGCCCAGGAGCTGCATAAATTCAAAATGGTTACTGAACAATATCTGAATGGTGGCCAAGAGAAACGTTTGGTGCCCAGGAGCTGCATAAATTCAAAATGGTTACTGAACAATATCTGAATGGTGGCCAAGAGAAACGTTTGGTGCCCAGGAGCTGCATAAATTCAAAATGGTTAGGGGAGTAAAGTGGAGAAAGCAACAAAAGGACCAGAAGCCATCATTTTGGATGCTTTTAATAGATTTTTATTTGCAGGGCTGTTATTCAGTTAAGTTCAGTCCAAACCAATCACACACCTCTGCAACCCAAAGAACCAAGAGGAACAGCAAGAGCGGCTACAGCCCATTGAGCTTGAGAAATCTAGTCAAAACGCAAACCCAGGAAACAAAAATCACACATCCTGCCAGCCGTAACTAGGGCCAGAGAAAGTGTTTTTGAACACTTGACTGAGCCCCAGCTACAACTGCCTTGAAAGGCAAAGACCACATCCCTCGCAGCAGTTGTTTGGAGCCCAGTCCTACATGCCCATAATGAAAATGGGAGCTGGGACGGAGGCACATTTTGTGGTGGTGGTGAATACCTAAAAACTGTGGAAGGACAGAAACAGGAGGCCCTGTCCACAGAACCAGAGAGGTGAGGTGAAGGCCTCTTTCCCCCTAAGGTTGAGGGATCTGCCAGGGCAATTATAGGCTTGTTGTGCAGAATACTACTACAAGGGGAATCAAATGTGCCTTAACATAAAACAATCCTAGCAGAGATACCAGGAATTCTGGATAATGAAAAAACATCTTTGGATACCTTTGAATGGAGGAGCCCAGGTATCAGAAGAAATAAGGAACAGGAGGCACAGCTAAGATAGGATTATTTGAACAGTAGGCAGGGTTGTATTCTAGAGGCAAGGTCATTTCTACTGCAATATGCTTGGATTTCAGTGAGGTAAGACAAAGCTCCAATTCCAATATATGCCCCATTTAACTTTGTTGTGGTGATCATGTATAGTCGTTAATAGACATGAATAAAATGCCTAGACATTTTGTCTGCTCATAGCTACAGATCCCAGGAAATTGCTTTAAATATAAAGGGAAAATAGTGTATGGAGACTTGGGAAAAGTAGCTGCTTGTGAACTGTTGCCTTCCCAGTCCTGACACAGCTGGAATGAAGCTGCCGTAAGGTTCCAAATCAGGAAGCAAGAGTATATGCTTCCCATGGCCAGACTTGGATGAGAACCATCTTGTCTCTGGCCTAGCCGCAGATGAGGAGCTCAGGGAATTGCTTTAATCTGCTGCCGTTCTAGCTGAGTAGGACAAGAAATGTATGAAGAGGCAACCAGGGTCATCCCTGCCTGGTTGAGAAAGATGTTCTCTCTCCTCTCCAGCACCAAGGTTTAGCCTGGGGCTCTAAAGCCACAGCATGTCCTGCTACTGCAGGTCACTCAATTTGGAAGCTGTGATGAGAGAGTGGACCGATCTGACTCAGGCACCAGTGACCCAGAAACTCTGGGGCTAAATGCAAAGCATGTCAAGAGAACAACATTACACAAGCTAGCCCTGGGAGACCAAGTCATCCCTTCAACACTACTGCCTAGCCTCATTGACTAGCTTAAGGCGGGGAAAGCTTGTGGCATGCAAGCTAACAGGGGGACATGGCCACGCTGCCATGAGCCCACAGAGCCAATGAGCCACCTGTGCAACTGCAGCTCAAGGGAAGCAGGACCTCTGGCTTTCTACAATACTGAGAGCAAAGAAAAGACAAGGCAGCACAGTGGGGCCATCTTATTTTCTCCCACTGGGACATCCTGTTCCAACTGCAAGCTGCCACCCTGTAAATGGCACTGAATACCTGTGATATGGGTCATTCCCCCCCTTTCCTGTTCTGCCCCGCCCCACACAGCGCATCATCCCAGGAGGAAGAACAGCCCTGCCTGGCTAAAGGTTTGCCTCTGTATTTCTGCCAGTTGGTCTGTAACAGCCGCCCCGAATGCCAAGCCAAACAGGGCCTAGCTACGTGGGAGGCTACACATCTCACAATGATCTGTGCCTGGCTGGTTCATGAAGGTGCAGTGCTGACAGGCCCACATTGAGGATGTTGTTGCATGTGTTGAACTGCCCATGGCACCATATTCTTGGAGTCCTGGCAACTGAATGCCAACTGTGCCTGAAAAAGTGAAATAGAGTAATTAGGAGGTGAAAAAGGCTCCAATAAGCAGGAATGTTTTTGTCTGGAAACTTTACAGACATGATCAATTTCTACAGTAAATGCGTAAACTTCCCTACAGAACATTCCCATTCCTTGGCTCAACGTTGCCTAATTCCTTCCACAGATTTCTACAACTGTATCATCTAAAAACACCTTCCTTTCTTCCCTGCATTAATTAAATCACTGCTAAACAACTACTTGGCTAAAAGAACATTTCACAAATGTATAAGGTTTTGTTTGCTCCTTTTATACTAAGCTGATCCCCAAGTGATCAAGGCAGTTTCAAATCCAAACCCCAACACTAGGCAATTTAATGTAGGTAAACAAAAGCTGTCCAGCATCTTTGTAATGAGGTGACTCAGAAAGAGAAAAGATGTTAGACATACTGCAAAGCTGCTCAATGGTAGCCCACTGTTCAGATTTTTTCCAGGTCTGAGCAAGATCTTCATTCCGGGTCCTTACTGCCTCCAGCAACAAGCTGATGCTGTCCTAAAAGACGAAATAAACCACATCATAATCCTACTTACGTTTCAAATATATGATGTAGCAGACAATATTCCACTAGCTGTAACTGTTAATAATATAATTAACCATTTAACTACACTAAGATAATTTTTGTCAGATGATTTATAATCTCCTAATTAGGTTGCACTCTACCTCCTCTCTCACTTTCGGGATGTCTAAAAGCATGGAGCAGCAGTAGAAATACGTTTTGCTTCCCAACTCCTAAGAATGCCGTAATACCATTTCAGGTATCCTATTTCCAGTTTTAAAGGCCAATTATTCTAGACAGGAATAAGAAATGAAACTTCACACAGCCCTGCCCAGCAGCTTTGCATCTAGGCAGTGGAACAGTATTGCACATGTGCGGTTAGCTCCACCTACATTGTGAACCATGAGGGGGTGGTAGAAAATGAACAAGTCAACGTAGCACAGAGTCGTGCTTTTAAAGAAAGGAACTGCTAGCACAAAGCCAGGACTTCATTTGCAAATATAAGTAGTCCCCAGTTTAAGAACGAGCTCCGTTCCCAAGGTCTGTCTTTAAGTCGAATTTGTATGTAAGCCAGAACAGTATTATTGTATAATACTGTATAAGGAGTATTGTGTAATGAACTTGAATCGTTGTGTATTTAACTCAGATTTTGCTACAATAGGCTCTGTTCTTAACTATAGGTTGTCTGTAACCTGGGCATTCTTAACCCAGGGGCTATCCATACTCGTATGAGCAAGAATGCATGAATGAAGCATCACGCTCTCACAGTCTCAGTTAGTGGCAACTGTTACCTGACATGCACAAGTGACAATATGCATGATTACATTAAAATGGCTTTGCTGGAAAAAGTTTCTTGAGATTTTAACAGCAGATGGCACTACAGATGAGTTCTGAGGTGGACTGGATGACAATAAGCATTGTCATTTCACTCCTGTTCTTGAGCAAACTGGGCTCAGGAAACAAAAATATTTCTACTGGCTTTATAATCACACCTACTGCAGAAATGTTATAGTTTGTATTAGGGTTGTGCATTGGATTTGGTCAGATACCAGATCCTGACGTACAGTGAATAATCAGGAAAGAAAACTGTTTGAAGGTTAGGATGGGTACTCACCAGAGAAGCAGTCACTACACCTGTAAATGTCATTATATTCACTTGAAAGCAAAGTTACAGGAAGTGTTCTTTTAAAAGGATTATAAGAAGCTTAGTTCAAAAATGTCTGCTCTGATTTTTATGAAATTTCAGAAGGCACATATTTAAGAAGTTTGCAAATTTAATCCCATTCTGCTGAAAAACAAAACTGCTTGTGCTTTCTCTGTATATGTATGCATGTATGTATGTGTGTGTGTGTATGTGTGTATGTGTGTGTGTATATGTTTTACATACATATATATACACACAAACACAGACCCAGACACACACACACACACAGAGCTCAGTTTCTCCAAATCAAAGGCAGGTGAGTAAGACTACCTCCAGAATTATCCAAACTAGATGGGATGTTTCTAAAACTTATGGTGGATGGTATTTGTACACCCATATTTTATAGTTAAGAGAATAACTGCATTATTGCAACGGCACATCATTATCGTAATAACCTGCAGTAAACCTGGTTAGTCCCCCTTGGCCAGCCCAGCTATTCCACACATGATTACAGTTCTTTAGGCTTTCTGGAAAATACAAGGCATTGATACTTTTCCTGCTTCCGAATATCAGGTTTTTTTAAAATGAAGGAAAAATGTTTTTCAGATTGTAAAGGCAAGAGTGTCATGTTTAGCAGTGGTCCAGCAAAAGCCAGTAAATGAGAGTAATTAAAACCCAGACATCTTCGATGAGACTGCAGAGTCAGTTAACTGATCTTTTACAACAGGAATTTCTGATACAGAAAATTTAACAACCTGCCCAAGTGTCAGGTTGGCTCCACCCAGTCTGAGAGACAAGCACTACCAACTCGTTTCTCCAAGCAGCTCAAAGGACAATGTGAGACCGCCAAACTACCAATCCAGAAACCACTTCTAAATACAAGATACTCTG